AATTTCTATATCACATAATAGCTTCAGAACACTAATAATACAGTACACAAAAACTTTATGGTACTTTAGAAAGTTTTTGTGCCTTTGTGCCTAACAGAATAGTATATGCACAATATAGAATTTGAATCAGCCTCGTCAAAGATGGCAGTGTCAGAGCCGATACCGATCCTGAGTATCTAATCGGCGCACTTCTTTTCAACAGTCAAATTGAAATTGAAATTGCTTGAAACTCAACAGATACATCACATTTATTAGCCAGTAGACGTGCAAAGTTTCAGAAACGGGCAATGTGCAAGGACTAAATAGCGCCACCTTTTGACAAAAGTGGGGTTGTTAGTTTTATCTACAGTTACAAAAATCGGTATATACATTGTACTCCTCAAGCCGGACAACTTTCTAATACATAGTCATTAGCTCGGACCAAGAGGAAGTCAGATATTTTGGTTTGAATATGGTGAGCCTCTCTCTGAGCCTACGTCCCTGTATGGCAAGCCCTTTTAACATTTAAAAAGCTAAGTTTGCCTGTCCGGAATTAACATTGTAGATATCAACAACGTCTTTCTGTCTATTCGTAATTACATTTTGGATAGTTTGTATTATCATTTAAGACATCTGTAACATAATTGTGACTAGTCGAAATGACAGAGTATGGCAAGCCGTTTTAACATTTAATCATAAAAGGGCCAAAGCCTTCGGCACCGCTACCCGGGTGCCTTTAGGTAACTAAAGGAACCGGGGTTGCGGTGCCCACCGGCTTGGGCCCGCCATCGCTGCTCGCAGCTATATTTATGTTTTTGAATTTCTAAAGAAAATGGACGTAATTTGAAAATTGAGACTTTGTTTCGTATCAATAGTAACAAAGAACAAAATTATTGCGATTTTTTGGATGCGAGCAGCCGCGATACGATGATCCATTCATTCAAATGAAACAGGATGACTAATCGATTCTTGAGATTTAAGAATCGATATCGGTTCGTAAAAATAAGAATCGATTAATATCGAGAAATCGATATTTATTACCCAGCCCTACAAAACAGCGATCTTTTATGGTATTATGAGAAGTTTTTTTAATATTTCTTGGTCATTATGAAGCTGTGCCGCCCAAGAGGACGTCTGATTGACATAAGCCGCGTTTCCACTTCAGGAACTAGGAACTTTGGGGTGATACTCAGTGTGTTTACACCGCAGGAACCAGGGTTCAGGGATGGCGCATGTTCGTCCCATCCATCTCACGGTCAATGTCCGCTGAAAACTAACGTCTACTTTTATATCTAGCATTACGAGCTTTCTGAATACGCTTTGGGTGCTCGTCTCTTTTCTGCCGTTTTGTTAATTACCTCGTTCGTAAACCAATCGCACACAAAAGCAGCACAGCTTGAATCTCCTCCATACAAAACTCAAAACAAACGCGCAGGCTAGGAGGAGCAGTCGCACGCAGTTCAACGTCACTACATAATCTTCCCGCCCCGGACCGGTACTTTAATCCGCGGTGTAAACGCAGTAAGCAAGCGGTCTGGGGAAAAAAAAAAGTTCCTGTGAAAAAAGTTCCTGGGACAATAAATAGTTCCTGGTAATTGCGGTGGAAACGCGGCTATTTAAAGCAACCAATCACACGGCCGATGTCACCATGATAACAAACCGGTGAGGCAACATGACATCATGACTTTTGCGTAAACATATACGCCACTTTTGAGTCAAGTGGCGTGTTATCTCAACGCATTTTGAGTAGGGTTGGGTATCGTTTGAATTTGAACGATTCCGATTCTGATTCCGATTCCTTGTTTCGATTCCGGTTCCTAACGATTCTCGATTCCGATTCTTTTAAGAGGCAGGGTCAAAAAAGTTTAGCTAACCTTGCTAACCAACAGTCTTTCTGAAGGAAATAGTCCTTTTGTCACAAATTTTGCATTTTGCCGAGATTTCGTTATTTTTAGAAAAGTGAAGCCACACTTTGGATCGCCGACGTAAGCTACTCATGTTCGACACGCGCGTTTATGCCAACACTTCCGGTAGACGCTTCTTCGTTGGTGTTGTTCAGCGGTTTCTTCTTCCGCTCGGCGGACTGTGAATATCGAAACTAGGAATCGAAATTTTAACTTTTGAACGATTCCGGGAAAAACGAAAAGTTAGTCCTCGATACCCAACCCTAATTTTGAGCTATCCGCGTGTATGCGGGTATGTCTACGCCATTAACGTCCGAGTGATTCTGCGTGTCTGTAATGCCCGCGCGAAACGAAGCAAAATGTAGATCTACATCTGTGGAGCGATCTTTTTTTTTTCCTAGGATGGTAAGGGAACAGTCATAAATGCCATTAACCCCAGTGACGGTTAGGTTTAGGGACGGGGTTGAGGTAAGACATATATTTATATATACAGTAATAACGTTAAGTCAGCCGCGTTCATAAACACGCTGAAAAGCGATTATGCGTCTTGATAGCACGCCAAAAATGGAAATACGAATTGGCGTGTCATACACACGCTACTTCAAGAGATCAGTCTGAATAGTTCCTGGTAATTGCGGTGGAAACGCGGCTATTTAAAGCAACCAATCACACGGCCGATGTCACCATAATAACAAACCGGTGAGCAATTCATTCAAGAACATCGCTCAAGTTCAAGCTGAGACTAAATATGAACCGTTCGTTCTCTCGAACATCAGAATAAACCAATTTTTAGATTCAGAATCGTCATGAAACAGTCAAATATACTAAGAAGTGAATGCAAGTACATAGCAGCACATATATAATTAAATAAAAAAAACGATTTACAAGACATTTCATTGGTTTTCTACAGGACATTGCTTTAGTATTTATCAACACTGGCATCCATTAAGCATCTCATGTTTTTAATCATCTAACAAATGCAAACCTCCTCGAAACACTGACAATCAGTGATTATAACAAGTGATTGCAGATCAAACCCTTCACCACCATCACGACTTAAAAAAGCTGATAATTAAACGTTTCTGTACTCATGAATAATTTAGCAAAGATTGATTTCCCATTCCTGCACTCATTTACTAAAACAACTGCCCCAATCTACTGTATTAGCCACAACAGTAACAGGACATGTTGACCACAACACCCGGACGTCGCCTCTCAGGACAACCTGGCCGTTCATATCAGCGTTAAAATCACAAACTAACGACACGGATCACATCAGACTGCTGGATATCAGCTATTCTCCTGAAGAAAGACACAATCTAACGCAAATTAAGAGTCAGGCTGTCACTTTACGTTGGAAAATCGAGTGCATAATCGATTATATCAAACAACACAAGTTTCAAAAACGAAAATAGGCAATTGATTTTAACCTTTTTTTTAACCATAAATGTGTTTTAGGTGGACAGAATTTAGGGATGGGCAACGATTAATCGCGATTAGTTGCATACAAAATAAAAGTTTGAGTAATATGTGTGTGTAGTGTGTATAATTAATTTGTATATATAAACACCCACACATGCATGTATATATTTAAGAAATATGTGCATGTATATATTTATTCACAATTAATATTATATATATATATATAAATATTTGATATATTAATAACACATTTTTCATAAAAATATACATGCATGTGTGGGTGTTTATATATACAAATTATAGACACTACACACACATATATTATGTAAACACAAACTTTTTGGATGCAATTAATCGCGATTAATCGTTGCCCATCCCTACAGATCAATACAGCACACAGAAACATGTAGGATGCTGGAAAAGAACAATGTGTTTTCTGTTCACCAGATGCTTTTTAATATTCGCTATTACTTCAATGCAAGTGAACAAACGCACCGATATTTGTTGAGTAGTGACGTGTGTGTTCAAGTTGTGCAGATTCTGCAATACTCTGTATTTAATATATCATGAGGATCACAAGTTGCATATTAGGGGGCGTTTAGGTTCGTTCACACCAAGAACCAGAACTACTATACCAACAATAAGCGTTCACAGTCACACCAACCGATATCGTTCTGTGACCTCTGACCCGACGCATTAGCGTAAGCTTAGGTGAGTATAAGCAACAAACTCAAGCTCCTCCCACATTTCTCTTTAAAATTTCGTTTTCAACTTCAAATTCGTGACTAGTGTTTTGTACACTTCAGCTTTCGCCAATACGCCATACGTCAGGTCAGAGGTCACTCTTCCGTCAGTGATTATGCTTTACAAAGCTATAAATATGGCTGTGTTTCTTAAAAAAACGCATCAGAGGGCCTTTATTAGCTTTATTATGGATTACTGAGGTGATGGATGGATGCACTTTTTAGGCACCATTCACTCCCATTATAAAGCTGGGAAGAGCCAGGATCAGGATATTCTTTAACGTAACTCAGATTGTGTTTGGCTGAAAGAAGACAATCATACACCTAAGATGGATTGAGGGCGACTGAATTATGGGATCATTATCATTTGGGGGGGGGACTATCCATTTAATGATGCGAGATTCTGATTGGCTGCAAATGTTGTATAAGTGTGCAATACTAAACTGTAAAGTTAAAGTTATATTAAAAATACCCTGGCCCCAACTTTATAATGGGAGTGAATGGTGCCTGAGATTTTGAAGCCTCTTTTGCAAAAAAAGTGCATCCATCCATCATCTTTAAAAGTACATCTTTATCGTTCGCGTTGATATGAACAGTATTTAGAAGAACGATAATAAAAAGTTTATAGTTAAAGTATTTGGTGTGAACGGTCCTTTAAACGCAGGTGTTTTAATCTGTGGTCACGATCAGCTGACAATCTGGGGGTTTTATTAGTATTATTACTATTATTAATAATAATAATAATATTTGAAACACTGCCGTTCGTATAATTAAAGAACGGGAGCGTTCCGTTCCTCACAAGTCACTCAGTACAGTCGTGGTTTAAGTGAAGAACTAACGTTAATTAACCGTTATCCTGTCACTGACGACTAACGTGATCTTTACTAGCGATACACAACAACACACACACACTCACACATCGATACCTGTTCCATTTAAAGCGTTCACTTACCTGTTAATCCCTCGCGTTCATTTAAAACGAGGACACACTCGGCGTTCTGGGTGTTTTGAGGAGTTTTTGCAGTGCCTTCGATGATTTGGAGTGAATATTTCTCACACTCTCGGTTAATTAATTAGCCTGTGGCGGCTAAGCGAGCACGAGCTAAGTCAAAATGACAATCGGCCGCCTCACGAACTCGTGAGGGCATTACTATCGCTCAGGATGGGCTAGGAAAACATGTTTAAAACCAATGACCCACCTCCCGCACACAACGATCCCCCGGTAACCGAATAACGACAGCCCGCTGTCGCTTAACGCCGTTTAATCGCCACCACAAGCACGAGCTCACGGAGACTCCGAGTGTCAACAGCGCGCAGTGATCAACCTGAGTGGGCGGGACCGTGACGTCACGCGCGAACCTCACAAAAATATCAACAGTCAAAAACCCCTCATTTAGTCTTATCCTGAGTGTTCGGCTTGTGACATTGAACCTATTGTTGATATATTTGGTGTATTGTATTCAAAGTTGTATATCATTAATAACATCTCTGTACAGTTTGAAAGCATAATATTTTTTCTTTTTAATGAAAAGCGCGTTTGAAAGCATCGCGAATCCTCATTTAAACTCTCCCGTGTTCACAACCAGGACAAAACACGGGGAATAAAGCATTGAAAGTATAACACTGGCTCTTTCTGTGCTTTACGTCACTGTTCCGTGTGGTTGTGCCTTCGGGAAACGTCAGATGGCGCTGTGGTCATAGTTTCAGTTTCGCCTGTTTTTTCATCTTTTTCTCTCTTTTTTATGGTAAAAATTTATTTTACAGTGTCCTTGTTACATATGTTACATGTACTTACCATAGTAATAACAGTAAATTATGCTTACTTAGCCTACATGTTCTAACCCTCAACCAAATCCTAATCCTATAACACAATAGTAAGTACATGTACTTAAATATATAATGACACCATGTAACCGATTTTATTACTTCGTTGTAGTTCATTCAGGAACATTATTACAGCGAAATTAAAGCATAAATGTCCCTACAAAATCCTATATATAGCTATCATTAACTTCTACTGACAAAATTACCATCCTTTTTATACATTACTCGAATAGTTTCCCAATTACAGATTATATTTTATGTTATTCTATTTAATAATAAAAACTGTGAGCATCTGGCATGGTGAATATTGGGTACTGTACAAAATATATAACAACATTGGGATTATACTTTCACAAAACATTTAACTTTAATTTAATTTTTAACAGGCCTATTCACCTTTCATATTTTACAGGAATAATATTGTGAGTTTTCTGCCTTGTCAAATCGATTAATCGCATAAATAAATCAATAAATAAACAAAAAGCCTATACAGTGCCGTTCAAATGTTTGGGATCAGTAAGACATTTTTTTTATGTTTTTAAAAGAAGTCTTCTGCTCACCAAGGCTGCGTTTATTTTATTAAAAATACAGTAATATTCTGAAATATTATTAAAATATAAAATAACTGTTTTCTATGTGAATATAAAGTAAAGTGTAATTTATTCCAGTGATTTTCAGCATAATTTCTCCAGTCTTCAGTGATCCAGAAATCACTAATATCAGGATTTGATGCTCAAGAAACATTTATGATTATTAAACATTTTTTTCAGGGTTCTTTTATGAATAGAAAGTTCAAAATAACAGTATTTATCTGAAATAGAAAGCTTTTGTAACATTATACACTACCGTTTGAGGTCAGTAAGAGTTTTTTTAAAGAAATGAATACTTTTATTCAGCAAGGACTCATTAAATTGATCAAAAGTGACATTTATAATGTTACAAACGATTCTATTTTAAATACAGGTGAAACTGGAAAAAATAGAATATGCTGCAAAAGTTCATTTATTTCAGCAATTCAACTTAAAAGGTAAAACTAATATATTATATAGACTCATTACATGCAAAGTGACATATTTAAAGCCTTTATTTGTTATAATTTTGATGATTATGACTTTTGAAATCACCAAATTCATGAAAAGTTTTCATAAGCTGTAATAATCATCAAAATTATAACAAATAAAGGCTTGAAATATGTCACTTTGCATGTAATGCGTCTATATAATATATTAGTTTCACCTTTTAAGTTGAATTACTGAAATAAATGAACTTGTGTGCGATATTCTCATTTCCCCTGCAGTTTCACCTGTACGTGCTGAACTTGTGTCTCCTAAAAGAGTTGCACTATATGTTTAGTCAGATAAGGCAGATGCATTGAATCACAGCACGTGTCCTATATCTGTCACTTGTTGATTCTTCTTTCGGAGGTCAGGACAGGAACGCTCCAAATAAAGCACGCAATGAACTCACGCTTCCCTTTCACCTTTATCCTAGATAGTGTGTCCTCCACAGCTTTAATGTATCGATGATTCTTCTCCTCAAACAGCTGAGCCCATTAGGTCATTGTGTTGGGTTATTTTCACAATGTTGGGTAGTTTTTGTGCAACCCAGGATCAGTGTCACAAACTGATGCCTTACGATCTGGATCAAACTGGAATGTCCAGTTCTGAGAAGATTTTGAAAACATTTTGCAGGGACACGTATTTCTAATATAAAGACAGAAAAGTTTGTTTGTTTAACTTTTTTTTTTACCTTCTTAAAAAAGTTTTTTATGGATCCTTGAAGAATCTTGAGGATCCTTATGTTAAAAAAAAAAAAGATTTTTATAAAGCTTACACTCACCAAAAAAATTATAAAATAAAATAAATTTGTATAAGATTATTAAAATGTTCTTCAGTTGACATGTGTTAGTTTGTCTGTTTGTGTGCAGACTGTATAGTGCTTCTTTGACAGATCAGAACGGTCAGATCTTGTGAAAGACTCTTATCTCTGCGTAATATGTAAATATTGCTGATAGACCTCAATAGTTTCATCAGATTCATGCGTTTTGTGATTTAGCTTCAGCTAATGTCTGATGAAAGCACGTTCTCGATCTCCCCCAATCAAATCTGTCAATTAAACGACATGTGAATCTTTCATGATCCGTCCATCTGTGATCCGCGAGCGAGTGCATGGCGAAACATGTTTGAACAACTTGAAAAGCTTAGATATGTGAGGTAATGTCCGTCTGAAATGATCAAGTTCCACATTCAGATATAAAATAAACCATGTGACGTGCTTTACTGATGTGGCCAACAAAAATCTGTCGGGAAACACTGCCAGCATGTGAACTACAATTTCAAAAGTTCAGATGGTGCCAGTAAAGAATTAGAAAAAAGAAAATATATTAAACTTTACAATTTTTTTTTTGATATTCACGTATAAATACAATCGCTCATATAATGTTAGCATGTCATAATGAGCGGGATGACATCATTTATTATTCATTAACCCGTCGTGGTGACGTGTGGCCACTAGACGGCGCCTGCGCACTATGAGTTTTTTTTTTTATTAAGATACAAAAACAGACAAACTTTCAAACAACAAACATGTTATAGGCTAGTTCTATAGTCAACAAGAGAAGTAATAGACTAAGGAAGCTTGATTTATCTATTGAACTTCTTAGCAAAGAGAAGAACGGGAGAGAAAAAAGGGAAAAAGAAGGGGGGCAAAAAATGAAAAGCACATTTGGAAAGAATATTAAACAAACTCTAGATGTTTTTGTCTTATTTACAGATCTGCAGCACACTGATAAAAATGCATTTTATGGTGAAGTAAATACTACAAAAACAGCAATGAAAAGGTAAGTTCAGACTATTTAAAATAAGTAAATTCTAGGCTATATTAATACTCAATTCAAGCGTGTACAAATTAAAGCGCAACGTTATAAAATTAAGTAAAAATGTGTTCCCATCACGCACTGGGCCTTGAATAATTAATGAGGTTGTTTCATCGTTGCTTTAGTTGGCTAACTTGCCATTTTGTGACATTTTTTATTTTAGACTCAAAATTACACATTCAAACACAAAAACGATCCATCAAATGTTACCGTCAGTGTGTATTGTCAACCCAGTATTGATATCTCCGTGTTCACTTCACACAGGACTTTTAAAATATGTTGTAGGCCTATTAATTACAGCTTCTAAGCATAGACTTTAAAAGGGTAATTTATTCCTTGTTATAACCATCAAATTCCTATTAAATAGCCATCAGACATTAAACAACGCATGACAGGGTTAAAGAGCATAAAACCCAACAAACATTTATTGAACCAGCGCTAATGATATCTGAACTCAGCCGATCCAATTCCAAACCACTGCATCAATGCACAATGTTTTGTTAAAAAAATGATTTCCTAAATATGAATAATAATCTCAAACTACTCAGCTTAGTATTGTGGCACTACTGTCACATCTGCTAAATGAACACACCTCTCTATATTATATTGAATATTAAAGAGACAGCTCACAACAACAACTAAAAAAACATAATTTACCTGTTTGACTTTCTTCTGAAAGTCAATATTCTCTTCATATTCTCATTTACATATTCATAGAACCGTGTATCCTAAATAAGGCGAGGGTGTCGAGTTACATTTAAGATATTTTAAGAAATGAAAAAGGCACGTTTAAATAACTCATTTTGGGTTTTAGGGGACATCATTATTGACTCTACAGAGCGACTTTATAAAGAAATAAAAAAGACGCTTTGTTTTAAGAGTGCATGGTCTGGGATCTTAGTTTGTTTCAGCACAGACTGGGATGCTGACTGGTTTCCCGTATGAAACAGCCTGGATTGCGTCATATGTCCCGTTCAGTGGTTTAGGGTTAGGGTTACAGTGTTGCGGGTCACTGGGGCAGAGGTGAGGCTTTGGACTGCGGCTCGACGTGGCACTGTAACTTGTAAGTGTCGTGTGTTTATTTGTTCGCGCTAATGATTAACCCCAGCAGGGCTATATATATAGCAATGCTTCAGTGTGTGTGTGTGTGTGTGTGTGTCGCTAACCTCCACCGTCCTCCCTCCCCTCGAGCGCGTGCACACGTGTGACAGACACCGTCATTGGTGCGTCCCTTAAACGTGTCACAACTTTTGATGGATTACCCCACTTCTGAGAGCTGACTCTCTGCGGCCACTCACTAGCGCTCACTCTCTCCAAACCAGTCCCGGTGAAACGAGCAAAGCAAAACTTTGCATCATGCTCTCAGAGTCGTTCTCGTGGTCCGCGTGCACGGTGCTGTCCACGCTGGTGGTGCTGAGCGCGCTCACGGTGACTGGCACGAGCACGGCCACCACCGTGTGCCCGACGTGCGGCATACCAGCGATGGAGAAGGACGCGGAGGAACGATACCTGGTCGAGATCGCGAAACAACAGATTCTGAACAAGCTTCACCTGCGGGAGAGGCCGAATATCACGCATGCGGTGCCGCGCGCCGCGCTCATGACCGCGCTCCGGAAACTGCACGCGGGGCGCGTGAGACAAGACGGGACCCTGGAGCTGGACAATAACTTACCGAACTCGCTCACGAATAACCAGGCATACGAGATAGTGAGCTTCGCTGATGTCGGTGAGTAGCCCACATCTCTTAAAATGTTCATTGCACAGTAAAAAAAAATACACAAATGTTGGTTTAACTTTAAAAAGTAAGTAGCCTCACATTTTTGAGTTCATAAGTTAAAGCAAGAAATGAGATTTTTTCAACAGAAGCTCAAAATATTATTTTATCTGAACCACGTGAATTATCTAAGTTGATTTGAAAAAAGAAAAAATGTGTGGAAAAAAATAAATAATAAATATATATATATATATATATATATATTTTACAATGTAGACACATTCTTAAAATGTATTTGCCATAATTGTTCAGCTCACAATTGTTCATTTGTTCAAAAAAATAAGTTCATTGAGTTCATTGAAAATAAAAATTAATTTCATGATTTATTATCATAACTTTTATCTTTTGTCAAATCAGCTTGAATAATTATTTTGGATCAGATAACTTAATATTTTGAGTTTATGTTGAATAAATCAACATCATTGAACTAACTCAAATTTTTATTTTCACTGAACTCAAAATCTTAAGGCAACCAGGTAACCTACTTTTTAAGCTAAACCAACATGAACTCAAATACATTTGAAGAATGTTTCTACAGTAAAAGAAATGTGTGTTTACCTTACAATACAATGGAGGAGATTTTTTTATTCAACAGAAACTCAAAATATTACGTTATTTGAACTACATTAATAATTTAAGTTGATTTAAAAAACGAAAAAAGTTATGAAAACAAATAATGAAAATGTTGGTTAGTGCCTTACAATTTTCAGAGTTCAGTGAAAATAAAAATTGGAGTTAACTTAATACGATGAAGTATGTTGGTTTAATACATAGAAACTCAACATATTATGTTATCTGAACCAAATTTTTACACTGGAGAGGCAAAGTTATGAACAAACCTATAAAAACATTAGCTATTCTTTTTCTTCTTGGATGTTAATTTCACATTCCCTACAAGTCACTGCTTGTTTCTGAATGTTTAAAGAACACTCTAAACTATACAATGGGATGTTTTCTTAAAGTTCACAATCAACATATTTAAAACATTTGCGGAACTTAATAATAAAACATTCTTGGAAATATTTTTGCTAGCTGGGTTATTGTGCCTTCATAAATGTATGTTTATAAAATGCATAAAAAGTTATATACTTACAAACTCAGGGATACAGGGATATTATAGGCTAGTTAATTGAAATAAAAATAAAAAATACAATAAAATGAGACAAAAAAGCCCAAGGCAACAGTTCTCATTTTTATTTAAAATAATAAAATAAAATAATAAAATATAGACATTAGTGTTGGGAAACGATTAATTGCATCCAAAATAAAAGTTTATGTTTACATAATATATGTGTGTGAACTGTGTATAATTACACACATGCATGAATATCTTTTATATATATAAAATATAGGGCTGTGCAAAAATTAATTGCAATTAATCGCATCCAAATAAAAGTCTGTGTTTACATAATATATTTGTGTGTGCTGTATATAATTATTTTGTATATTTAAACCCACACACATGCATGTATATATTTAAGAAAATGTGTTATTCATATATAAAATATTTATATTTATATAATTTAGATTATATATATATATATATATATATATATATATATACAGAATTTAAGCGCAAATAATTCTTAAATATATACATGCATGCATAGGTATTTAAATGTACAAAATAGTTATATACAGCACACACAAATATATTATGTAAACACAGACTTTTATTTTGGATGCGATTAATCGCAATTAATTTTTGCACAGCCCTAATAAAATATTTATATTTACAGTATATCCATGCAAATATTTCTTAATTATATACATAACTCCCGATGTCATTCGCTTCCAAAGAAAAATTCCATATCACTTGGATTTATTATCATAATCTTATTATCATAATTTACGGTGTGATTTCTCTCCAGATGACGAGGTTTCGCCGGGTTTGGACACCAGTCTGTCGTTCCAGTTCCTGCAGGAGAAAGGCCACAGTGTTCAAGTTCTCCAGTCGTCGCTGTGGCTCTACGTTCGTCCGGCGGACGCCCCTCGTCCAGGTGAGCGTGTGAACGCTGAGATCTACCTGTCGGGCGCTAACAATCGCACACTGCTAATCCAGAGGAGCGTTGAGGTCTCGCGGGGCGGCTGGCACACGTTCCCCGTCACCGCTGCCCTACAAGCCTTTCTGGACGGAGGCCAGCGTCGCCTCAAACTCCAGGTCCACTGCGAAGACGGAGAGCGAAACCTGTGTGTCCGCGACGCTTCCGGCGAACACCAGCCGTTCCTCGTAGCGCAGGTGCGTTTGCGCGAAGACGCCTCCACTCACGCGCTGAGCAAACGCTCGCTACGCTGCGGAGACGACGTGAGCGTGTGCTGCAAGAAAGACTTGTACATTAAGTTTCGTGACATACAGTGGCAGGACTGGATCATAGCGCCCGAGGGATACCACATGAACTACTGTATGGGGCAGTGTCCTCAACACCTCTCGGGGTCGCCCGGCATAGCCTCCTCGTTTCACGCCACCGTCTTCAGTCAGCTAAAGGCTAACGGGATCCAGACCGCCGTGTCGTCCTGCTGCGTCCCCATCCAGAGGCGCCCGCTCTCAATGGTTTACTTCAACTCGCAGCACACCATCGTGAAGACCGACGTCCCGGACATGATCGTGGAGTCCTGCGGGTGCACATAAACAATCAACGCTAGCAGACAGTGCTCTTATTGAACACCTTCTAATCAAGGCTTTCTGTCTGAGCATTATGGGTTTTTTATCATAGACTGTAAAGAATACGGACGTGTGGTTCTGAAGAGCATTTTCGAAGCCCAAAGTGGGCGGAGCCAACCGTCGCCATCTTGGAAAATGGGCAAAAAGGCGAATTAGCTAACGGACAATCCACCTGTCACTCAAGTGGCCACGCCCTTAATTATGCAGAACTTTAAGGCTTCGTATCATTTAAATGGATGAGTTATAAAAAAATTCATTCCTCACAGTTGTCATGAAGAGAAAAGATTGCTATATAGACTAAAAACACTTTTATATATATATAGAACAAACACTAGCAGTGCTCTTATTCATCTGCTGCTGGAACACCTGATCAAGGCTTTCTGTCTAAGCATTATGGGTTTTTATAGATGTTCAAATACTCAGGGAAGCACAATGGCACGGTTAGCCCACATGACAGATTCAGGTGTGAAGGTCGGAGGTCTGAAAGCGGCTCAAGAGACAATTACTGGAGGAGCAAAATGACTCGAGTCAGAATGAAGTGCTTAAAACAAGGGAGAAAATGGCCAATGGGGGTCTTGTTTTTCCTTGAATTAAGTTTATTTTTCCGCCACAGAAAACAAAATAAAAAAGGTAATTGCAACTTTTTATCTCACAATTGCGTGAAATTCTGACTTTATATAATACAATTGTGACTATATATCACGCAATTGCAACTTTATATTATGCAATTGTGACTATATATCACGCAATTGCAACTTTATATTACGCAATTGTGACTATATATCACGCAATTGCAATTTTATATTACGCAATTGTGACTATATATCACGCAATTGCAACTTTATATTACGCAATTGTGACTATGTCATGCAATAGCCTCTATGCACGATCGCTTCCGGGTTTGTCTCAGCCGGTTTTGCGTTAAGTGGAGATAGTTTCAAATTACACTTGCTGTTTATAAAAACGTCCTGCGGTTAACGTCAATGATGTTAACAACACTTCGAGAAGTTATTTAAATTGTATATTTCGAGCTAGATCAACAACTTTGAGGGTTAGTATTCTCTCATATTGTCCGAAATTCGACTAGCGAATCAGTCTTTCTAAAATCGTTGTCTCCGTTTCTGAGAACACGGATTTTATTAAAGTTTTGCCGCTATACACTTGGCCTGGCGCTTCTGGAAGTAAATACGCTGACTGAGATTCTTTCGGACACACGTCAGCAGGGTTCGTGCATAGAACCTATTGCAACTTTATATCACGCAATTGTGACTATATATCACACAATTGCAACTATATCACACAATTATGACTGTATATCATGCAATTGCAACTTTATATCATGCAATTGTGACTATATCACACAATTGCAACTTTAAATTGCGCAATTGTGACTATATATCACGCACTTACAACTTTATATCACTCAATCTCAACTTTATATCACGCAATTGTGACTATATATTACGCAATTGCAACTATATCACACAATTGTGACTATATATCACGCAATCGCGACTTTATATCACGCAATTGTGACTATATATTACGCAATTGCAACTTTATATCACACAATTATGACTATATATCACGCAATTGCAACGTTATATCACACAATCGCAACTTTATATCACGCAATTGTGACTATATATTACGCAATTGCAACTTTATATCACGCAATTATGACTATATATCACACAATTGCAACTATATCACACAATTGTGACTATATATCACGCAATCGCAACTTTATATCACGCAATTGTGACTATATATTACGCAATTGCAACTTTATATCACACAATTATGACTATATATCACGCAATTGCAACTTTATATCACACAATCGCAACTTTATATCACGCAATTGTGACTATATATTATGCAATTGCAACTTTATATCACGCAATTATGACTATATGTCACGCAACTGCAACTATATCACACAAATGTGACTATATATCACGCAATCGCGACTTTATATCACACAATTGTGACTATATATCACACAATTGCAACTATATCACACAATTATGGCTGTATATCATGCAATTGCAACTTTATATCACGCAATCGCGACTTTATATCACGCAATTGTGACTATATATTACGCAATTGCAACTTTATATCACGCAATTGCAACTATATCACACAATTGTGACTATATATCATGCAACCGCGACTTTATATCACGCAATTATGACTATATATCACGCAATTGCAACTATATCACACAATTGTGACTATATATCAGGCAATCGCGACTTTATATCACGCAATTGTGACTTTACATCACGCAATTGTGACTTTATATCATATCTCGCAATTGCGACTATATATCAATTCTGATGATAAAAAGTTGCAATTATCTTTTAAAATGCTTTATTCTGTGGCGGAAACAAGTTTTCATAGTTCTCAATTCATTTAGAAACAAGACTTCCCCAGTTTTAACAATGTTTAGATCTTTGTAACGGAAAACAATGCAAAAATACTGAGAAAGAACATCTTTTTCTTGGCAGTTTTCCTGTTTCTCGTGATAGATTACTTCAGACCAGTTACGCCAAAGTCAAACGCAACTACATATGTGTAGTACTGGCTTTTCTTTTCAAGCTGTTTAAACAGATACTCTTTCTTTTATTTGTAATATTACTTCTAATGATATGTTTTATTTATATAGCGCCTTTGCAAAAGCAGTACAATTAATGTATGATAATTTACAAACAGTTCAATAATCTACATTGTACATGTTACAAGTGTCATGTTTTGGTGTGTACTTAGTTTGAAGCACTTCCTAGGGATGCATATATCAGTGTGTGTGTGTGTGTGTGTGTGTGTGATATATCAGTGTGTGCATCGGACCGGTTTGAGCTCATAACGTTCTGCAACTGCACTTTATACGTTATTTTTGCATATTAGTACGAATGAAAGCCGATCTACATGTGCTTTGTTTATTTTTGCTTTGACAAAAGTAATACTGTAACTTGTTGCACAATATTAAAGCTATTCATTTAGCTTTTTGTAAGAGCTGTAACTCTATGAGATTAATTTATATAATTTTTATAAAAAAGGGATATTTTCTTATGAGAGCTTGGAAATCTGTACTCTATTGTACGTTGTAATTTTTGCTGAATGTGTGTGATTTTGAAATAAATATTTTACCTATACTTCATGCCTAGTTTAATGAAAAACTCAAACTAAATAAAGATTTGAATTAAGGACAAAGGTCACATCGAACATCATTAGACTAAACAAACCCCTGATGTTTGACATGTTCTTCTGTATCGCTTCCAGAAACGATATCCAAAAGCAAATCCAGAACGATATTACAATATTTCACGGTCATACAGTCTCTTATCGCCTGACAAGTAATTGATCACGACTCTTGGGAAAAAGAAGGATTTCTAAGAAGTCAATCAATAATGTCTAAAAGGCAAAGAGCGTGTTTGCATGGGCAAATAAATGAAGTGGTCTTTATAGATGGCTATATTTGACGAGTAAACAACAGTGAAATATTTCTGGCATGACTTCAATCTACCATAGAAAGGCACAGAGAGGGTTGTTCATCATAAAGACATGGATTTGTTTGCTTTCGCTGTAAATATGACATATAAATATATACATAAACTCACCAAACACCGACTACTGCTGTCAAAGAGCATCTGAAAGTCCCAGAGCAAGCTGGAAATAATCAAAGTTTGAGGATTTCGAAACAAATACAGGTGAAACTGGAGAAATGAGAATATGGTGCAAAAGTTCAGTCATTTAAAAGGTGAAACTAATATCTTATATAGAATCATTACATGCAAAGTGAGATATTTACAGCTTATGAAAACCCAAAATTCAAAATTAGAATATTGTGAAAGGTTTTCATATCTGTAAGTTTCTGAAAAATCAGGGTTTGTTCCAGTGATGCTGTTATTAAAGTGCAGCAAATCCAGAGACGTTCTCACATGTTGTTCATTGTTATATTACATTTTTGTTCATCTGCTTACACACATTACCAACACTTTACACAACTGCACACACAGAATGCCGCACATCTCTGGCTAAACGAAGCACTGCATTCAAAACATCACAAACATCTCAAAAGCAAACATTTGTCTTACGTTGCAAAACACCTTTGCCATAATATTACAGTTTTTTTCGATTGCTAAACGACAGAGACACAACTGGAGCTAAATGTGCAAAACTCTAACTCCAGTCTGCACTACCAACAGTCACCTGAGATACACTCTCAGAAAAAAAGGTACAAAAGCTGTCACTGGGGCTGCACCTTTTCAAAAGGTACACTTTTGTGCCCAAAGGCTGCATATTAGCACCTAAAATGTACATATTAAGACCTAAATGTACATATTAGGACCTAAAAGGGACATATTAGCACCTAAAATGTACATATTAGTACCTAAGTGTACATAATAGTACCTAAATGTACATATTAAGACCTAAATGTACATATTAGCACCTAAATTGTACATATTAGCTCCTGAAATGGACATATTAGCACCTAAAATGTACATATTAGTACCTAAAATGTACATATTAGCTCCTGAAATGGACATATTAGCACCTAAAATGTACATATTAGCACCTAAAATGTACATATTAGCACATAAAAGGGACATATTAGCACCTAAAATGTACATATTAGCACCTAAAATGTACATATTTGCACATAAAAGGGACATATTAGCACCTAAAATGTACATATTAGTACATAAATGTACATATTAAGACCTAAATGTACATATTAGCACCTAAAATGGACATATTAGCTCCTGAAATGGACATATTAGCACCTAAAATTGACATATTAGCACCTAAAATGTACATATTAGTACCTAAGTGTACATATTAGTACCTAAATGTACATATTAAGACCTAAATGTACATATTAGCACCTAAAATGTACATATTAACACTTAAAATGTACATATTAGCACCTAAACTGGACAAAAGTTGACCTTTTGAAAAGGTACAGCCTCAGTGACAGCTTTTGTACCTTTTTTTCTGAGAGTGTACACACTTCACATCACCTGCAAAACTCACTCCAGCAACACAACTCTTACAGTAACACACGCTCAAAATAGTGTCATGCAGCCAAACACACCCCTCACTGAGATAACACACACACACACACACTCAGAACACACTGAGAGGAAAAACACTCGCATCAAACACCAATACAGAAAATACAAACTCTTCATCTTTACACTTTCAACAATTTCAAAGACTTTTTTCTTAAAAAAAAGAGTGACATTCACATGATTTGTTAACATTTTTAGAACATTACAATTCTTTAAGGAAAATGAAAATGAGCAGTTTGCTTCAATAGTCTGCAGTCATTTACAGAATTACAGTAACAAAAGGTAGAAACTAAAAGTACACACTAATTCGACAAATAACAGAGGGGCTGATCCTCCTCTCTCTATCAGGACACCGGTGTCGGACGCCCAGCTGAAGTGTGTGTGTGTGTGTGTGTGTGAGGCTCTGATAAATTACTCTGGCATTTGGAAAATGAACTCAACAGACTTGCTGTTAGATGTGTGTTATAAAGAGAATTGTGTTGTGGTTTGAAAAATGTGTTTTATGAAATTGAAAACTGAGTCATTAGTCAATGGTTTTGCAGATTTGGTGTGTGTTTCTGGTGTTGAGTGTCAGGTTTCAGAA